AACGAAAAGGTATTTGTCAAAAATAAAAAACTCAAACCAACTTCTTTTAAGCTTCAGATGGAATTCTAATAGAGTATTGTATGTATCCGATCTAAGTTAGGACAATTTTTCTGATAAAAGCGGCTTTTCATTATATCGTCCTTTAAAAAACGTCATTTTTTTTTATAATATAATTTTGATGACTGATGAAAAATATAAGAAAGAGACATCGGGTTTTTCGTGACATCTATACACCTTTGATAATTAAAAAAATTAACTAATATTTTCAACAGTAGTCCAACTGAAACAGTAGTTGATATTGTACTGTTAAACATGAATTGCTTAATAAAATGACGTTTAATTTTTCCACAGATTAATCGTAACTAGTGACATTGCGTCATCGATGATGTAATGCCAGTGGCACATCTCTAAACTAAATAATAAAGTGAATGTTTTTACCTTGTTGAACTGCTTTAAGGCTTTCTTTTTTCTTTTCTTTTCAAAATAGCACTAATGTAAAAACTTATTCTTCTTTCTTTCTGTTTGCCTCTTCTTTTTTTTTCTATCTGCATAAAATGTAGCGTGTTGACGTTATCTTGAGACAAAAAAGCAACAAAATGACATTTCGGTTGATGATAAAAACAAATCATTAATTTTCATATGCATTTCATCATCCGAAATTTCATGTTTCTCGTGTAAAAATCATGACATTTTTCTAATTTTTTAAGTCCTTGAGCAGTAGCATGATAGTGTCAGCGAGACGGTGTTTGCCTTGATCGTATCTCTAGATTGGCATCACCGCATACACAAAACAGGATAATCTTTTTTAAAGTTTATGAGTCAACGTTTGTTCAAGTTTATTTTTATACGTGTGATCTTTTCAATTAATAAATATTGTAATGGTTAATATCAGTTACCCTTTAAGTGTTCATTTTTTCTAATTATAATACGTTTTCCCTTTATAAATAGAAAAACACTAATTATACGAAGTCACGGAGTAGTATTTTAAGATACTTCCTTGCCCAAGCTAGAATTTAGAAACTTCTGAAACTTGTTGACCACTTACCAATGTTTAGCTTAGAGCCATATTATTTTATCTTATATTTACATACACTGTTTTACTGTTTCGAAACGACAGGTATATATATATGGGTTTGGCAGAGGAAAGAATTCACTAGAAGCTCAGTGAGAACATTCAGAAAGAAATGAGAAAGAAAATAAGTACACAAGGTACGAGTAGCATTCTCACTTTCTTTTAAAAAAAGAGCTTACTGGCTGTCAACTTTCCTTGCCCGAAAAAGAAAAGTGGAAAGCATTTTTGTTTGTTTGTTGTGTTGTAAAAGAGGGACCTGAATTTTGTATGCTGTTTTATGAAGAGAGACGGAAAAAAAGAAAATGAAAACTGGATCTGTACTAGGTACGGGGGGATTTCGATCTGAAAAAATCACACTTGCCAATTCCGAAAACATATTTCGATTTTAAATGAAGTTAATTTTGCCTATGTCTAGGTTGTACAGCTCACACTCATGAGCGCTCATATGAGTATGAGCTTTTTTTTCTGTCTCGAATAGAGGAGGGAAGTTGCAGTTGATCACTAATTATGTTAACAAGTAATTAGCAACCGAAAACTTTGCGAGTTTATCAAAATGAAAAGCGATTTTCTAAAATTAACGGTTTTTTTTATCAAGTTTGATCGAAAAGTAATTGGGGTCCAAAAATCCGAATCTGTAATCGGTTTCTCAAAATTTCGAATTTGATTTTTTTTATCGAAAACAAATTGTGAAAAAAAATTATATTTTTACAAAAAACCTTTTTTTAGTAGAAAAATCAAATTCAAAATTTTGAGACACCGATTATCTTTTGTCAAACTCTAAGAAAAAGTCGTTAGTTTTAGCTAATTACCTTGTCTTTTGATAAACTTGCAAAGTTTCCGTTACTAATTACTTGATAACGTAATTGGTGAGTAGCTATAACTTCTCTCCCCTATTTGGGTGTAAGTGTGGGTGTGAGTTTTTATGAGAGGAAGGTTTATATCCACTCACACCCTGTCGTCAGTAGTAAATATGAAGAACAAAACTTAACAGAAGATATGATCTCAATTATATTTACGCATATCTTTATTACTTTCACTAATTGACGATATTTAAATATTGGTCCATCTTCAATTTGTTGTCGACGATTATCATTTCATATTTCATCTTCAATTGTTATTTCTTCCAATTTGTTAGAAATACATGTATATTTAAAGTATTTTACCGATTATCTTTATATATGTGATAGATGTTTCCATCAACTTCATATTCTTTATGTTAATATTTTTCGAATTCACTCTTCAAATCTAACAATCAATAAGAAAGTAGATTATTTTTAATTAATATCTAATTTATTTAAAATAATTTATAATCATGTGTTTGTCTTTTTTCTAGGAAAAATTACCTAGTTTAAAATGCTTTTCGTTTTACTGTGTTAAGGATACATAAGATTATGATGAATTAATTCCCTCACTTTTATTACATCGAATGTTGAATTTTAGAAAAACTTGATTTGTATGTTAATTTTTGTGGAAGACAAACATTTGTTGATAATAATGATACGAAAATAAATATTATTACTAATATGCCGGGATTGAATCATTGACATTTCATATTCACTCATGGATTCGTTTTAGGGTGTAGATGTGGTTGAAAAGAAAAATTAACACCGATAACCAACCCTATATCACGCTCATTCTACACCCGCACTCCAAAATGAATTTTTTCTTCGAATGGAAAAATCATTTCCTTTGTTGGAAAAATTAACTTTAATTAATTGAAGAAGACAACATAATGAATAATCTAGAAAGTCAATAACTAAAAATCGAGATTTGTCAATTATTAAATACAGTATCATTATCTTACTGAAGCTAATAAAAATTATTATGGACAATTTCTACTCGATAGTAAAATGTGTTTACCAAATGATCTTCATATTCATATGAATATCCACTTGTGAAAAAAGTCACCCACAATTTTACAAGAAATACAACACGACGTAATTGGGCGAAAATGAGTTACGTTTTTTCCTTCTAAAAAAATTTCCTACACATGTTGAAGACTATTTTCCTCATGCTAAAATATTTTGATTGCTGTCAATCTTTTTTTAAATGAAAATTATTTTATACAGAATGAATGTACTAAATTAGAAAAAAAAGTTGTTTTATGTGTTATTGAAAAGCATTACAATCTATGTGTAACATAACGATTGACGTATGTATAGTTGTTTTGTAAGAAAAAATAAAATTTTATTTCAAATCATACATTGAACTCCAGTTACTTACTAGTATACAGCTTGAAATACCAGAAATGTGTACCGCGCACGTGGGCCACCCGCATTATAAGCATATTGGCTTTTAAGCTCTCTTATTTAGTTTGAGTCTCGAATAGGAAAATCACTTTAGTGTTTTTGAGCAGCATCTGCTTTTCTTTCGGAATTGAATAAAAACTAATAGAAGAAAAGTACACCAACTGAATCATTATTTTAGGATAAATTAAGGGTATGGATGTGGGTGAGAAATGAACAACCACATTCACAACTACCTTAGCCAAAAGCAAGAACAGTAGTAGGGTGTGGGTATGGCGATAGGTACGAATTTGGAAGAGAAGAAGATTCACAGCCACACCTACGTCCTTGTTGCAACTTGGTTCATCTCTGGAGTAGTTGTAGTAGTCATTTACAACGTGTTTCAAGTAATATGTGGCAATATGGATGATATGTGCACGTATTTATGTGTCGATGAATAACAATGCGACCAAGGCCGCTAATGATTAGACATATCGATGAATCATTTTTTTCCAATGAAGCAAACTTTAATGGGCAAACAATCGGAAACAAAACACAATGCACATATATTGACCTTGTCTAACAATAAATCGTGTTGGTTTCAATCGCATGATCTAGTCCTATTGTCTTTCTACGATTGTTTTGCTTCATCTTATCCATCATTATGTTATTATATGTAGTCGATCATCAGTATTCATTTATTGAAGTTTTTCAACACGTATTTTGTCTAAATGAACAGATTTTTTCATTTCAGCGAGTGTGGGTATGGGTGGGGTATGAGTGTCAGTGTGTGTTGTTTTGTGCGTCCGCATCCACATACCCACATCCAGAATCTGTATCTCAGGGATGAATTTGAAACGAACAGATGATATAAATCAAATGACTGAAATATTGTCACCATATATGAAAGAACAAAGAGTAATTCTCTTATTGATTGTCTTGACACGTCGTTCTATCGGTCGGTCAGATTCATATCAGTAACAGAAGGAAAGAATCTGATTAAGCAGAGTAAGAAAAGCTGGAAAATTGACGTCTGTAGTTTGATTTTGAAGGAAAATGATGACGTATACCATTAGAATCCCTATTGACCTGAACATGGCTGAAGACAAGTCGTAATCATCACTGATCCTTGAAAAACAATTCAACAATTTTTCTAGCTAAGTTATTAATCGAAAATTTCAATAATGATGACTTTTTTCCTATTAAATTCATTTGTTCTCTTCATAATAAATACTATGGAACTACGAATATATCAAATTCGTTGATAATAATACATTGATTTAATTTTAAAATGTTTGCATCTTTCAAATGCAATTGTATTGCTGATAGTCTATAAAAACTAATAATCATTTGTGTTCATCATTGCATTTTTTGTTCTGTGTACATTTTTTCTCTCGATCAATGTGTAAAATAAATTAAGTAATCAGTAAAGAAAGATGAAGGCATCGATTGGTCGGCAGCAATCTTAGTAAATAATCTTTCAAACTTCTGTTTGGAAAATTAGATGAGAATTAGTCCATGTATTTTAATTGTTCGAAAACTTAAATGAATTAAGTAGACTTTTATCTCGTAAAAATCGAAATTTCTAGAATTTTTTAAAGAAAAGCTAATACTTAAATTTCTATGAAAATTAACTCGATAATAAGACTTCAAGTGAATTCTTTGTCAAAATCTGATTGTCCTTTTTTCAATCCGATAAATAGATGCATCCCTCAATATCAAAACCATCGTAGGTTTTTTAGAAAACGTTGTCTTAGATTAACTCTTGAGAATTTCCTGAAGGAAAAGATTTGGAACGCCGAAATGATCCAACATGTTTCGTATATTTTGTCAACACACATTACATATTCACAGAAAAATTGAACAGTTAGCCACTCGTAATTATGTTAATTTGTTTTGTCTGAATTTCATGAAAATCAATTTGACCATTGCGTCAAAAAATAAAACTCGAAAAAAAAACCATATAACGCATAAAAGAATTGTTATGTTAAGATCGAAAACATTTAATCCGCTCGCTTATCTTCATCGATACTAAGCTTATTGTTCTTTTTATCGTTAATATTCTACAAATAGCAAATTCAAGCAGTGAAATCAACACAATCACTAATAAACATTTAACATATTTTAATTCCGTTTTTTTAATGGGCTAAAGAAAAATTGTAACTAGTGTACAAAAAAAAATACTAAACAACAAAATCACTTTTTTTTAGACAAATAATTATTGTCCTTAATCTATGTAGTACTATATTTTTAGTTAAGAATAATTTTACTGTCAAACCGACTTCAACGAATGGTTTCGGTTATCTTATAAAGGGCAGATTAGTTTTATTTTGTGGTTAATCGTTGTTGGTTAATAACTTGATATAAAAGAAACGAAAAAGAAAAAACGAACCAACGAACATTAGTTACGACAGGATATAAATCGTGGAAAGATTAATTTTATTACCATAAAACAAAAGAATCATGATGATCGGCTTCATAGTTCTTCTTACTCTTATTTCATCTGCGGAATCAATCACTGATAATATTATAGGAAAAAGTTGAGTAATTATTGAAATATTCCTTGTATAAAATTTCAAATTTAGATCAACATTCTCGTAATTTATGTGCGCTATTGGGTTGCTCATCTGGTTCACTAAATGGGTAGAAAACAGAAAAAGAAATATATATTTATAAATAATCTTTATGTTTTTTTTAAAAATATATTCTTCGTCTATAGTTGTGGTACAGCATCAGGAAATTGTCAAAATACACAAAATACGCAAGTAACACAAACAACACAAGGTGACTGTCAAAGAACAGGATGTCCAAATGGCTTATGTTGTTCAAAATATGGTTATTGTGGAAATACACCTGAACATTGTGATAAGACACCAATAAGTGATGGAAATTGTAAAGCCCAAGGTTGTCCTCCGGGGCAATGTTGTAGTGCTTACGGATAGTAAATTTAAAATGATTATTTTGAGAAAAAAACCTTTGTTGTTTTTCAAATATCATAGTTGTGGTACAACAGCTGCCCATTGTGGAAATGCTGCTGGTATTTCAGTTGAAAGAGGTAGTTGCCAAGAAACAGGTTGTGCACCTGGATTTTGTTGTTCAAGATTTGGCTAGTATGCAGAAATAAGTTTATTAATATTCAGCAGTTATGTTGATTTGGTTTTGTTCTAGTTGCGGTAATACACCATTACATTGTTCAGGTACATCGGAATCACAGTCTTCGGGTAAAAATTTATTAAAATTTTTCTTGAATTCTAAAGAAATTTTTATTTAAATATAGGAAGCACGAGTAGTGGTTCAATAGATTGTTCAAGTTGTACGGGCAGTATTATTATCAAGTGTCCGAAAGCATGTCGTGGCAAAAAATTAAAGTCTTCTCTTTTTAAGCAATAAGTACTTCTATTCATGGAAAAAAAAAGACTATTTCACTGCACTTTTGTCAAGTTATATTACATTCATCGGATTTGAAATAAATGGTAAATAAAAGGATGACTCTTGTAGGATGCGGGTGAAAGAAAGGTTCAAACTCACACATACACACCCCTACATTTCATACCCTAATGGAATCTCTGTAAACCTAGTGTTGACAATACTTTAAAGTAGTCTAAAGTACAAAAGTATATTGTTTTCCCCTGTGACTTCTATACTATCTATGTCATATTGTATTTATCATTTCTGTTATTAGCTTATTAAAGAACTAATTTATTGCTTCTTATTACTTATTAGTTTATTATAAATTACTTTATTATTTTCAACTTTTTCTTGCCTTGGTATTGGTAAGGAATTAATAAAAAGTTGAAGATTATAAAGTTAAGTAATAACACAACAGACTATTAATTAATATTTTGCTAATAAGAAAGAATAAACGCCGTAATATCATTAAAGTAATAAATAAGTGCAAATCGTTATAAAAAAGTAATAGTAATTTAAACACTACAGAAGATATATAACCACATAATAAAGTTCGCATACGTTCAAATAATATTCGACACACATATTTTATTATAAATAATGAAAATACTCATGTGCATGAAGATACAAAATTATA